GCCCCGCTCCGTGTCAGACGCCGCCCCCGCCCCCCTCCTCTCCGACCGGACCGGTATGGAGTCGAGCCGTGGGACTGTTCGCACGGAAACGCGCGGCAAAAAAGTAACCTGTCTGGGAAAGTATGGAACCAAAGTGCCGAGTTGTGGCGCGGCCCGGCGGCTCGGGTCAAACCGCCGGCCGGTGCGGCAAGAGCGAGCCGAGCCGGGCCCGGGCCCGGGCCGAGCGTTCTCATATGCACGGCCGGCGTGTTGTTTATCGTGTCGCTTTTGACGTGATGATTCACGACTCGCAGAATACCTATCGGTGGCTGCGGTGGCGTCCCGTAGGCCCCTCCGCGTCTCTCTCGGGGGGGGGGGGGGGGGCAATGGTAGCGGCATGCCCCATCATGGATCTCTCACACTACTCGTTCGAGCTCCGTTAGCCTCTTCTTGTGGTTGACGTGGGTGCACGGCGCGGGTCCCCTGGCGCGCGCAGGGTCGGCCTGCAGCGCCTGCAGCGCGCCCGCGGCCGTTGGGTTGCATACCCCGCCGGCGCTCGGCCGCCGCTGGCCGCTCACTGCAGCCGCACACTGCAGCCGCACAGCTGACCGACACGCGCTGACCGCCTCGATGTGTTTCTTTGTCCTGCAGGGAGGCTGGCGGGTCGCGAGGCGGCGAGGGAGGCCTGCCCCACCGACTCCATCACGTCGAGCTACGGCGTGGGTCCCACCGACGACCGGGGGCGCCCCTTGTTCGGGCTCAAGGCGCTGCGTCGCACCAACACGAACCGCACTCTGGGTACGTAAACCAACATGATCATGTGTTGTTGGTCTTAGCCTCTCGCTTCTCCTCGCTCATTCGCACTTGGTTTTCTCACTTGTAACTTGCTGCTTCTCCCCCTCCCCCCGCTAACAGAGCCGGAGCCCGCCAGTGGGACGACGACGAAGCAGACATCGACCTCCACATCCACCTACACGTCGTCGTCGTCGTCGACGGCGAACACCAGCTCCTCGCGGCCCAGGGCGGCGGACATCACCGACTCGTCGGGCCTGCCGCTGTTCGGCGGCCTGCGGGCGCTCAAGATCAGCAGCACCAACAGCAGCGCGACCGCGAGCGAGCAGAACGGAGCCAGCGGCCCCGGCTCACCGCCCCTGCGGGACCTGGTGCAGCGCCACGAGCAGCACGCCCGTAAGAACCGTTCTCCCCCACCCCTCCGCCCCGCCACCTAACTCCTAATGCCCTAATCATGCCCTAATCCCCGCACTGAAACTTTACGCGCATTAAAACATAAGAAACGCTCGTTTGTTTGGCATGGTGTCACGCAGAGAAGCGACGGGGGGTGGATTTGTCGTACTGAGTAATGAGTAGTTGAGTTATGGGCGGTACTTTTGTGGGCCGCACGAGGCATTTCTTACTTTATTGCGCTCCTCCGTCCCCGGACCATTAATACGCTCACATCGGCCTGTAACGCTTCTCCGCTAACGTGACTAACGTTACGCCCCCAGGTGAGAGCTCGGCCACGCCGCCGGCGCAGCAGCTGACGCAGCGGCCGCGCGCCAAGCTCCGCGATAGCTTCGTGCAGGACGACGAGACCCCCGTCCTGGAGAGGGCCGAGTCCTTCAGGTCCACGACCTCGATTCAGTTGTCCCCCTGCAACGCTGGCGCCTCCCCAAAGTTCTCGTTTGAAAAGTCTGAAAAAAGCGGTGGCAGCCGCGTTGACGAAGAGTCGTTGGAGGTTTCCAGGAAGAAACTTTCAGACGACTCCAGATCGTCGTCGTCGTCGCCGCCGCCGCCGTCCTCCGGCCTGAAATCCCTCATCGGGAAGCATGAGCTCATTTCCAGTAGTGGTCTGTAGTTGCCCGCCCCTGCCGCCTGCAGCCCGCGCTCTCCTGCCGCCCCCTCTTACCCGTTGGTCTTCCCCTGCAGGTGACTCGCTCCTGGACTCCTCCCGGCGCGGTATCCTCAAGAAGCCCCGCGACGAGGGCGTGACCACCTCCACCTCCTCCTTCTCGCGCTCCACCGTGGTGAGCCAGCGCCAGGTCGTTGGCCCTGACGGCACCGTGTCGCTCACCAGGGACGTCATCCGTGGTGAGTACAGGCAGCCCCTGCTGCGGCAGGCAGGGAAGGCCCACCCCAGCAGGACTGTGCGCCGCTCAACACGTCCGGGGCCCGGGCCGGCGGGGTCCCTGCGTGGTTTTCTTCTCTCGGTGCCGTGGTCGCCGAAATAGAACGAACGCCTTGTGACATTACAGCGCTAAAGTTAGAGTGCGCATTGAGAGGCGCGGAGTGGATCAGCAGGGCTTGCTTATCCCGCGGCTGCCGGCTGAGTGGCTTTCGACGGGAAGACTGGGAGTCGCCGGGCACCGAAAAGGGAAGGGCGAAGAGCGGCTGCAGACGGACAGTGACCAGGCTGTGCCCGGGCCGCCCGCGAAAGTGAAAGGGAAACAAAGCGCCGGCCGGCGATAGTGGGCGTGGTGCCTCACGGCGTGGCGGGGCGTGGCGGAGCAGGGCGGACCTCATATATTGTCGCTCATAAAGCGAGCCAAGCCGGCCGAGCCGCTCGTGCGCTCTTGCGGGGAGCAGGCGAAGCACCCCGCCGGCCTCTCCCCCCGTGCCGCTCGCCCGCTCCGCGTTTAGCAGCCGAGTAAACGGCCACTTGCACTCGCAGACGGCGCGGCATTGCCCCGCCTGGCACCCTTCCACCGCCTCATTTTAGTTTAGTTTTGTCCGCCCGATCCCGGCTGGTCCGCCCCGAGCCGCGCCCGCGCCGCGCCCTTCCCCGCAGTGCGTGTGTCCATCTCGTCCTCGCCCTCGGCGCCGCTCCCCGGGGCTCTGCGCGCCGCAGCAGAACCGCCGCGGGATGCGGCCGCCGCCAACGCCGGGAGACTTAACAATAAGGGAACGCGGAAGTAGAGTAGCGATGACCTGCCGGGGATCCTGGACGAGCTCCTCGCCGTGATGGCGCTGTGCTCGGCGGGTCGCCGCGTCGGCCGCGCCGGCCGCCCCCGGGGCGCGCTGCCCGTGTGGTCTCTGTGCGCCGTGCTCTGGCTGCTCGTCTGCTTCACGTGGACCTGCCTCTCCGCCGTCGTGTTCTGCGGCGCCTCCCTGCTGTTGTGCGGTGTCATCAGGACGCCAGGTTGGGGCGGAAAGCCACCCGAGCCCCCTCCTCCGATATTACCTCCGCCCACACTCACCGCTCCGACCTTCTCCACACTGACTGTGACTTTGTTTTGCAGGAGAGACGGTGTCCAAGCCCGGGCAGGAGCCGGTCACCAACGTGTCGCGCGAGCACTTCGCCTACGAGACCCCCGAGCCCTCGGCGCTGTCCATCACCCAGCTGGACAGCGAGGACGAGGAGGTCCGCAGGTCCGGCAGCAGGAAGAGCTCGCCTTCGCCTGACCGCGTGCTCATCGAGTCAGCTCAAAGTTCCAAAAGGTGATGAAACATCCTCCTACTTCATCAACTTTTGTTGAAAACCTGCGCAAGCTCGCCAGCAACCAGTAACTCAATGTGCTGTTGGTGAAGTGATATCGTGTTATCTTATTTGTCGGTTTCTCTTTCAATGTCCACAGGTCATCTCGAAACTTTGAAGAGGATACCAAATTTAGTAGTTCTTTCAGAAGATCATCAGCCCAAGATGACTTTATTCAAACAGAAAAGTAAGCGAGAGTCCTGTCAACTGCTCCGTGGTAATTTCAATTTTTGTCTTTCCGAATCATTAACAAAATATCTATCTCTAACTAGAGCACATTCAACATTGGCATCTCAAAATGGAGACGAAGTGGACGACCGTGGAAGCCGTTCATACTCAAGTAAAGTTACAAGAGACAACCCCAACAAATGGTCCAATACCGTATCAACCAAAAAGACTGACGGCAATGCTACAACCCACACAACTACTACCACCTCTAAAGAGCGGCGGGCATCCGGCGGAGTGACATCGGAATCAACAAGCGTTTCATCCAAGTAAGTTCCTTCCAAGCTGTGTCGTGTACCCTAAATTTTCGATGTATGAATGAAAATGTTAAACACGAATTCCTTCTTGCACAGGAGCGTAACTACTACTAAAAGTTCATCTCCTTCACGAAAGTCGCCAACCAGAGAAGTAAGCAGCAAAAAGCAAACAAATGACAAGAGCTCTACAGGTAGCAGTTCTGAATCAAAAAGTACAAGCCGTTTCACAAGTTCATCACGCACTTCGACGTCTCGAAATAGTAGTTCTTCGAGTATCGAAAGACGAAGGTCATCAGCAACCGCTGATGATGCATCCGAGGAGGGTTCCTCAACAGTTACCAGCAGCTTGTTAAGAACCTCTCAAAGAGGCTCGGTTCGGGCATTGCAAGAAAAATTCCAAAAAGCTGCAGGTTAGTCTTGTCCTTCAGTAACTATGAGTAGGGTGGTGTTCTTTCGGTGTTTTTGTGATTCCTTCTTGTTTTGAAACTTTTCATCTGTGCCCTGTGGAGTAGAGTTATCCAAAAACTATTTTGCATAGCAGTGGAAATAATTATGAGACTCATTTTTCCTATTTCTTGAACCTTTTATTTTCAGGTTCTTTCTTGGACCCTTTGAACTAGGCATACCTATTCTTTTCTAATACAGCAAGCTAACTTTTAATGCTCTTTCGCTCTATTTATAGAATTCGTTTGCAGTCAAAATTTATTCAACTCAAATTGCTTGCTGACCTTTGAGCAGCTTAGCTGATCTCATTTAATTTTTATTATTGAAAGTTGGTTATTTCCACTTACAATTTTGACTTAACATTTAACAGAATTGAAATCATCCTCTTTCATTCATCCATACATTAGCTTTTGACTTGTGCTCAGGGTGTAGAAACTAAAGCATTACTACAATATCCTTTTACAGCATTACCATTAATTATTTTTGAATCATTTAAAGCATTTGTAGGGTATAGAATGATCGCGACCTTTCCGAGGGTTCTTCAACTTCATTGCTTGACCTCTGCCTAACAATAAGATTTTGAGATTTGAGATAACTAATTAACTTTGGAATGTTAACATTTTAACCCGGTAGCTGACGCAAACAGTGCTGACACCGCCCGATCAAATCGCTCTTACCCCAAGGCGGGATTAATCTTCCGCTCTGCCAGCTTCCGCTCTAGTAGTGGAGATGGTACTGCGCCAGTCACACCAAGTTCACCAAACCCTCCCTCTACTCCGTTGTCTGAACTGGGTATGTATGCTCATCCATCCGTATTGATCATCTCTCAAGTGCATGATGTAATTTTTGCTACTTTTTTGTTTGTTGTTGTAATGGTGTGGTTTGTTCAGTTCATGCTATAATTACCTAGCACACCGAGGATGATGACCCGTTTTGTTTACTCGCGACTCCATCTTGCAATGATCCTGACTCTCTGTCCAGGCACGAACCCCACCCTGAAGCAGTCGGCCTCGATGGAGGTGAGGGTGGGCTCCCCAGTGGCGTCCCCTCTCCCCTCTACGCCTTCCTCCTCGGAGACGAGGTCCTTCCTCAACGACCGCACGGCCGTGACTGACGTGCACGACGTCCTCACGCGCATGCGCAACGCGGACATTGGTCAGCATTCTTTACATCCGAGGGTGTAACAACTCCAGATTTTGGTGTACAGACTACTCCATATTACGCCGGATATTACCCGCAAAATGCTGCCGTTTTTGAGCGTATTTTGCTCTTTTCGGTCACTCATTACGCGTTATTGTGCGTAATACTTGGATCAGGTGTACACACTATTTTTACGCGAGTTGTTACCCCCTCGGAGTTATCGCGAAAATCTCTTGTTGGGTCTGTGGTTTCAATGCTGTCTTCCTGCAGTGGTGGAGAGCGGCGACAGCGCGGAGGACCAGGCCGCGAGATCCCTGCTCAACAAGTTCCTGGGCGCGTCCGTGATCCTGCAAGGCATGGAGCCGCTCGTGTCCGACAGGCACACCTCCAGCAGCACCAGCTCGGCCAGCGCGAGGCAGACCATCGTGTCGGGCGGCGCGCCCGCCAGCACCACGTCGGCGGCGCTCGTCAGCCAGGTGGAGCGCCAGCGGCTGAGCGGAGCCAAGGTGAGTGCCGTGCCGCCGTCAGCCGCGGAGGTAGGCCGCCCATCCGACACGGGGTAGCGCCGTCCCGCGGCCCCCGCCGGGCAGCGCGCGGGGTAGCGCCGGCGCGTGGCGACGAGGATGGACCGCACTGGTGATGTGTCGGTAGCGGTCGTGGACTTGGGGCGTGGTATGGTGCTCGCGCTTCAGAGCTCGCCTTTGATGTCGGTGTGGTGCTCTGGGTGCGCAGTCCGCCTTGACTAATAGTAGTCGGAATTATTTCCCCGAGCCCGAGTTCCGTGTACTGCGGCTGCGCCGCGCTGCGCCCGTCCCGGCCACGCCAGCCCGCGCGTGTTTAGGTCGTGGTTCGCGTAAACCCCGCCCGTCTGCAAGCATCACTTCCGTCCTCCCTTTCAGCGCGGAAGAACATTTTCGCTTCTATTTCCAGATGGAAAACTACTGAAGGCCCCGAAGCAGACTGCTGGGGGAAAATCAGTTTTGCTAGATCGTCTGGGCACCAGTCGAAGCAGCTGTCGAAGAAACCTAGTGCGCAATGGATACGCCTGTAATCTGGCGAACCCACACTGTAACAAGGGTTGGGAGGCTTTACCCTCCGCTAACCGCATGCAGTAAAGTGCACTTATATCTCGGTCTGGCGCACGGTCGCGCTGGCGTGACGTACACGCGTATCTCTCATGTTTTGTCCTCGACGCCGGCCCCTCCCCCCTGTCATGATTTGCGCCGTGTTTCGTGAGTTACAGTCGGGCCCGTTGTGTGTTTCTCTGGCGCTGCTGCCGCCGCCTCGCCGGGTGCAATGGGGTCCTTTACCCGCAGGGCTCAGGACTTGCACTGTGTGTGCCCGGCCCGCCCGCTTGAGCGAGAGAGAAAGACTGAGAGAAAGGGGAGAGGTTGGAGATTCTAACCGTTTTCTGCTCAGTCATTAACTTTGTTTCGAAACAGATTTCTGGTATGGAAGGGTGATCCTCGGGGAAGAGCAGAAATAACCCGCCGGTGTATGTAGAAAGGGGTGGGGGATAGGGGTCACCATAATGAAGGTGAGGTGGGTGAATGACAGGGCGAGGGCGAACACGACGGGCCGGTCCGCCAATGTGCGGCCTTGCACCGGAGTTTGCCTGCTGTGACGCTGTAGCAGTGCAGGCCGCCGGGACGCACCCAACAAGTGCTGGCCTCGCCTATGGCCACACAGCACTGGCCTTGGACAACGGCCGCGCCGGCCAGGACGACAAGCAGAGAAAGCACCGAGCACTGAGACCGGCCGGTGGGCCGTCCGCAAATAGGTGACCTACGACCTCGGCCGGGCTGAGTCGGGGGCAGCGAGGCTCGCGCCTTGACGACGCGGCTTGACGATCCCTGTCGTCCCCACTTTTTGGCTTTGGCTTCGCAGAAGTACGTTGGCCTTGTCTTGCGCGGGGGTGGGGGCGGGCAGGTGGCTGAGCCGCGGACCGCCTTTCTCCCCGAGGCGAGGCCCGCGATTGCCAGCACGCGCGCGGCCGCCTCACGCGGCGCCAACGGCCGGGCCGAGCCTCTCCTTGTCGCGAATGGCGTTTGGCCGGCGCAGCGACACTGCTGCAGGCGCCGAGGGGAGGGGGAGGCTCTACAGCAAGGAATGCGGCAGCAGAGTGTCGTGGGTGCATCCCTTCCCCTCCCCTTCCCCAGCAGAGGCACCCCACCAAGCAGACCCTCCCCCGCCCGCCCCTAACGTTCGCACGCCTGTCGAGAACAGAACAGGGTTTTACTCTCAGTGTGCCACAGTGTGGTGGCAGCCGGGTGGCAGGCTGTACGCGCCCCCAACC